TATATATACAATTTCATAAAAAGGAAAAAAAACATAGACGATTAGGACTATATCAGGAGGACAAAATGTGTCATGTCTTAATACATAAAAGTGAGACATTCGTTATGTCAACTAAAACTAAACAGCTGTTGTTTTAAGGAGATAAATAGATTCTGTAGAAATGTATTTGCATGTTACTTGATACTGAGGAGCGATGGCTGGTTTCAGGCAAGCCAGCTTCGAGTGTCGGGGCCGAGGCAGATTCTCGTGGCTTTTCCAAYGCAGACATGACCTTGTGATCTGCAAGGCCACGTCAAAATATCAGTTATCCTGTGTCCGAAAGTATTTTTGTTCAAGTCAGCAAAAAATGCTCACTGTAAACACAAGAATTCATTCAAATTTAGTTTTTTTTTCTGTGAAGTTTGGGGCTTTGTTGTTTAGATTCCTGTGTTAAGTCACAGTTTGCAGGTTAATCTATAAAAACAGCAACCTAGAATAAAACCCAACCCAATATTTTCTCTTTTGAGATATTTATAACTGAACAAATATGCTGAAAAACAATAAAAAATAGAGTGAAATATGGGACAAAGAGTAGATGTGTCAGATAGCGAAAACCTAATTTTAGCTTTTTACTAAGCTAAAGGATCGTTTTGAAATAAATAAAAGAACGTGATAAGATGAACTCTCAAGAGATTAAAGGAGACATATCAAGCTTTTAAATCCTTCTTTTTCACTTTTAAATCATTCAGYTGGGATCTATATAAAGTGGAACTGCAATGATTGGGTCTGAATTCTTCCATGTTGTAGCTCCACGAGCCCCTCTTTCACCCCTTTTCTGAGGTGTGTCTCAGATCAACTCGTTTTGAGGCTGTCTCTTTAATTCTAACYGAGGCRYTTCACACCCSGCCCCYCTCCAGCTTCCAGAGCAGCCYGTTGTAGTTTGATAGAKGGGTTTACGACAGTATAGCAGTACAGAAACTTATTTATTTACAAATTAACTAAAAGATGTCAACAAGGGAAGACTTGTCCATCCAGCCTTACATGTTGGACCCAGAGTCTGACCTAGAGCCAGAGGAGAATGAAGATGACAAACCTGTAGTTGATAAGTCCAGAGCTCATTTGGCAGTTCCATCGTAAATAATTTGACGTCATTGAAAAAACTGAACATCTTGAAAAATATGACCCAAACAGGATATCAAAATATCTAGCAAGCACCAAAAGAGACTAAATTATCATTTTCTGCACTCCTAGAGACTCCAAGTACACAACAAAATGCATTTAATGGCTACAAAAGTGGATTTTGCCTGACATGTCCCCTTTTAAATGAGTGAAGTGTTTCTACTCTGCTCTTACCGGTTTCATCGGTTGGTTCACCCTCCAGCTTGTCGAAAGTGTTGAATGAAATGTCCAGGTACTCCCTCTGGATGGCACTGACGGCTATCTTCCTCTGTTTTCGCTGCCGGGGAACAATCTGGATCTTAAACTCAGCTTCATCGTTGTCGTCCGTGTTTTCAGGTTTGGGGTCGCTGTCCGCTTCGTCTCCCATCTCGTCATCGTCCTCGTCGTCTCCGTCCTCTTCTTCGTCGTTGCTGTTACTCTTGCCTTTCTCCGGAGAGGAAAGCGGCTCCGCCTTGTTTTCTGGGATGTCCAGGAAAACCGTCTTGCCGGCGGGGCTTGTGCCCGGCCCGGTCCTCRCGTCCTCAGAGGTCACAGACGTGTCGTCCAAAGAGCTGTCGGGAACATGTGGGGTCTTCTTCAGCAGATCTCTCTTCTGTTTCAGGGTCATGGGGCTTTCGTGGCAGACATTCTCCGGCCGTTCAGGGAGGTCTAGAGAGGCGCTGGGAGTCACACCTCTGGGTTTCTTTTCTGGGGTTAMTTGCTGTGAGCTCTCCTTGTTAACGGCTTCTGGGTCCTTTTTTTCACTGGAGCAGTCCTCCACGCTCACCTGAACCACAGGAGACAGCCTCAAAGTGTCGCTGCTCGCAGGGGAAGCCGAGATCCTCGGGCTGCCGTTGAACTTGGACCCTATTAAGGTGTTAAGGTCGAACTCCTCGTCGCTTTCCACAATCCTCAGCGGAGGCAGCGGTTCGAAGACCAAGGAGTCGCTGTCGGACATGGAAAGCAGGGAGTGTTTCTCAGGAATTGAGGTGCAGTCGGAGGAGAGGTCAATGAGGTCCTGCTCTTCTTTCTCCTGTACGGACCCTTCTAAYGAGCTCTGCTCCAGTTTGTCTTCAAAGGTCTCCATGCAGCTGAGCCGGACCTCTGGGATGACGGGCTTAGACGTGTCGGACTGGCCTCCTCGAGAGCCTCGCCGGTCGACAGGATCAACCCGAACCGAGGAGCCGTCGGAGGACCCTTTACCTTGTTGCCTTCGGAAGGTGGCGGAGGACGGGGGCAGAACCACGGGTGGCACTTGCATGTCACAGCGATCAATGCAAGACTTTCGTCGGTGTTCGTCTAAACTGAAAAGGAGGGAATCTGTGTTGGAGATGTCTAGGGACTTCTGCTTGTGCATAGCCTGTAGCCGCTTCTTCCTGGTGCTCTCCTCCCTCACACAGTGCAGGATGCTGTCCTGAAGGGCACTTGCTTCCCGGTACTCTGACAGCTCAATTTCACCTGACACACATTAAAACAGTGAGACTTCATCACAGTGAAGGGAACAAGACTGCTGCAATCACAAACCGTTGTGCTGATAAAAGGCTCAGTCTATGTGCTGTAATACACAGGCAGGCTGTAAAAGCTTCTTACTTCTCTTGGCATTCAGCTCCACTGGCTGGTACTTCACAGATTTGCTGCCACCAATCCTCTTCAGGCGGGCGAAGAAGGTCTGAGACTCTTTGTTGGCAGCGCCAGTGGGCGTGTCGTGGACGTCTGACTCATCGAACACACTGTCTTCCTCTAACGCAGAGAAGAAAAATATTAAACATGAKCGCTCATAACTGGCCCTTTGAAACAACYCATCTAAAATCAGTCAAATGTATTTTCATTTCCACTCTTATTAGGGTTTATTTCTAATCTTCCTTCACCTTTTTCCTTCTCACTGTAACGGCTTATATTGGAGTTGTCGCTGTAGAGCGGTCCGGCCGCAGCGTGCGGGCGGCAGCTGTGATACTGGGCGTTCAGTGTGTTGATGGTGATGTGGATCAGATGGAGGACCAGCTTACTGTTGTCCATTTCTCTGTAAGGATACTACAAAACAAATAATATATTTTGTTTATTAGTCCTGTTTGTGAAGGGAAAAATACATCAATCTACACCAGTACTGTCTATAAATTAAATGACTAATGATTTAATTACAACAAGCCAAAATAAAAATAGCAATCCATATCATCATAATATGCCCAGTTTGGATCGATGTATCAATCGCAGGCTTGTGAATTGAATTAAATCAGAATTTAACYTTTGTGATATCAAGCAACATCGTATCATCATCCAAACAAATCGATATATCTTATTGTGATAAAGCTGGTGATTTACACCCCTACAACGCAGTGAATTAAAAACACTAATAAATAGCTTTGTGTGATCTTATTTTGAACATGTGATGTTTTTCTAAGATCTTCCGTTAAATACAGTTTTGAAATTGTAAAAAGTTTGACAGAATTAACACACACCAAAATTAAAACAATAAAATAAATGCTTGTATGAAAACAATGCTTGATTAAATAWAAGAACCTTGCTATGAAATGACACCATTGTTCTGTACACACATGTTAAAACGGCTCAACTTGAGGCTGAGAAATTAACCAAAGCTTTGGGGGGAGTGGTCGATTGGTTAAATCAATCCTGTCTGACTTTAAATGTAAACAAAACAAAAAGTTTGTTTTTCTCTAAGACTAAATTGGACACCTCAAATTTAAACATTTACATCAAGRGTAAAGAAATTGATACTGTGACTGAGTTTAAGTATCTTGGAGGTTTTTTTGGATTCAAACCTCAGCTACAGCATATTAAAAAYGCAAACTGTTAGATATAACTTGGTCAATTTTAGATCTTGTTTGTCATTGGAAGCGGCCAAGATATTCATGCACGCACTMATTTTTTCACACATTTCRTATTGTATTTCATGTTGGGGACAAACCAATTTGTCAGTAATAAAACCTGYAGAATCTTGTTGCAAACAGGCCCTCAAAATATTTGACAACAAGCCTTTAAGATGCCATCATTGTCAGATTGTGCAGGAATATAACTTGTTTTCTTTTGAGAATTTTAGTTTTTTTCAAATATGGAAACAGTATATAAAATTTTAAACTGTTTAGCGCAAATCTGTTTGCAAAAATTAGTTTATTATCGTTCAGCTGTTTCTTTGCGCTTAACCAGAACATCCAGGCAGAACTGTGAAGTTCCTGCTCGACGATCAGCCTTTGGACAGGCTGCTTTTTCAGTTAACGCCATCGCTCAGTGGAACGCTGCTCCTGATCACGTAAAAACTTGTAGTTCTTTTATTAATTTTAAAAGTAATCTTAAAAAATATTTAAAATCTACCCACTGTTGCAGTCATTGAATTGCACTGGGTAATCGATTTTAGAGTTGCTTCTGGTTGTGTGGGTTGGAGG